TTTGTTTTGTTTTTAGTGCATTTTGTTTTGTTTTTCGTGTATTTTGTTTGGAAGTCGGTTTTGTTTTTTTATTAAAAAGTTTATTTATGTAAAGATAAGCATTATTACAACACAGCGGATAAACACGATTAAACAGTAAAAATAAAAATAGTAATATTATACAAAATTAGACATAAATTCTTAACGCAACACCAGGACAGCAGTTCCGTAGCGATTGGATACTTTCGGTGTAACTGCTGCCGGGCAAAGTGCTTACAAAACTATAATAGGACTAAATTAGATTAAAAGTAGACAATGTTAACACAGATGATATAAAGAAACTTAAATAAAATACTTAACTACTTACTTAACAGGCAGGGTTAGGCTAGAGTCGAATTTGAGATAGGACGGAAATGTTTAAAAAAATATGTCCTCAAGTTAGATTTCAAAGCACAGGTCAAAGGCGGGCTAAATATGGGGATTTCCTATCAATAACATAAAATGTAAGTTTAGTTTGAGGTATGTTTGTGGTAGGGCATTGTGATTTGCCCCCCTCCTCCCCCCAGTTACCCTGGTAGGGTGACATTACCTCATGGCAGCGAGGCAGTTGCTGAGCGCGCTGCGCAGGTGTCCCTGCAGCTCGTCGGCCGCGGCCGCGTTGAGCGCCTCCAGCCGCCGCGACAGCGCCTCACAGCAGCGCCGCACACGGGACTCCTCGTCGTAGCACTCCGCACTGCACACACACCCCTCTATACTCTATACACCGCACTTCTCGCCTACGTCTATACTTCTATACTCACATTCTAAAGAGGAAAAATTTGCATTTTTGTATGTATGGAAGTAACTTAAAAACTACTAGGCTGATTTCAAAAATTCTTTTACCATTGAAAGCTACGTTATCACTGAATAACATAGGGTACGTTTTTTAATTTCATGCGGGGCAAGTCGAGAGTAACATCTAGTGTGTTTTATATACAAAAACGGGGGGAAAATAGTGGGGAACACCAAATTGTTCATCGACACCATTGGATTTTAAACAAGTTGCCGACCTTTGATATAGTCCTACTTGTCAAATACACCACAATAATCAATTGCATTGCATCAATTTAATTCATCAATATTCCCTTAAGAATGCAATCTATTCGTACAACAAAATGTCTCTCACTTTAAGCATCTACCTCTATCTGTGTAACTAGCGTGATGGTGAGTTGGGCCGCTGGAATATTTTAAAAAATAATGTAGTTACCGGTACACATTGTAGAGTCTGAGCGCGAGGTCCATATCGACGGTGGCGTGCAGGCGGCGGTACAGCGGGTCCGGCTGCAGCGTCAGCGCCTCCCCCGCACCCGCACCCTCGCCCGCACCCTCCGCCCGCACCGCCGGCACCCTGTATAACATGTTACTTTGTACTTCGTATATAAACTGCAGGTGCGAGGGAGACAGGTATAGTTTACTTGTTGCGCGCCATGCAGCAGAACTGCTGCACGATGTCGTCCACGTTGCAGGTGAACAGCTCGTGGAGGCGCGCCTCCGGCAGCCGCTGCGTCTCCAGGATGTGGATCACACCCTGTATTTATTGTTATACATTATACAGTATGTTCGATTTATGTTATGATAGCGTCCGCCAATAAGAAGCCTGTATTATCGACAGTGTCGACGTCATTTATCATTTAAAATTAATTTAAATATTCGGTATTAATGTACAAAATATCAATTGGTGACGTCATACATGTCGGTTGAATGATACTTAGTGATTTAGTACACTTGAATTGGTTGAGTATATTTTGTGCAGGCGTATGTAGTAGGACACAGTGTCGAAACTTTGTGTCTACAGGGAGAATGTGTTAAAAGTGTGTCTACAGGATGTTTTAATGAATGTGGTCAGTAACGTGTTGTGTCAGGTGTTGTCAGTAATGTGTTGTGTATAGTATGTTGTCAGTAATGTGGTGTGTACAGGTGTAGTCAGTAATGTGTTGTGTACAGGATGTTGTCAGTAATGCGGTATGTACAGGTGTCAGCAAGTGACCTCGAGATGTTCAATCTGCGTGAGTGTGCGCGGCGCGAGGTCTATGGCGAGGCGCGCCAGCACGGCGTCCAGCATGGCGGCGGGGCGCAGGTGCGGGCAGTTGAGGCAGTTGTACGTCGCCTCGGGGTGCTCCGCCAGCCACGGCGTCTCGTTCGCAGTGTGGTTCAGCACCACGTCACAGATCGACAGCATCTGGTAAACAAATATTATATTGAAAATTTCAATTTCAATACTATTTACGTAAATTTTAAAATTAATAGACACTAATGAATAACATTTTTTCAAAAATCATGTTATTTAAAACTAGCTGTTCCTTGCGATTTCGTCCCCGTGCTAATAAAAAAAATAATCAAAACACAGCCTATTTTACTGATATCGTAGGTTTTTAATGGCGAAAGAATCTTTGAAATCGGCTAAAAATACAAATCTTTCCTCTGTGTAATATTAGTATAGAGTACACATATAGATACAGATACAGATACAGATACAGATATAGATATTGTAATGAATACGTACATTCCACTCGTTGCGTATCTTAGTGACAAGATGCTCGACGTCTGCGAAGGTGTGTTCTCGCGCGCCGTCGCCGCTGTAGCGCGGGTCCAGCCGCAGCTGGTTGGCGATGCTGTAACTGGAGTTGGACGCACCTAGCTCCTGTACAATATTACACATACAAATAAATGCTGTATCAAACGAACAAGAGAACGATATTCGCCGCAAAAATGGCAAAAAGTCCGCTGTCCATAGACATCCGCAATTGTAGATGCGTTGTCTTCCATTAATAACGGATTAGACGCCATAAAGATATTTACCCTTCCTATACGTCTCCTCCACCGTAAAATCTTCCCACACTTTCCTTATAAGAATGACAAGGGAAAAGGACTTTAATTAAACCTCCGGCACCACGCTCATCAGACTGTGGGCGGAATTGCTTATGAGCAATGCAAATGCAATGCAAAAAATGCAAATGCCACGGCCATACAGAAGACGGGCCTGAAGTATGCCTCTATCATTGTTAAAACTGTTGTATTGAAGTGATTACCTGTATAGGCGTGAAGTGTATCAAATTGTAGCCGGCCTCCTTAGCGGGGCGCAGCGCGCGCTCCCAGCGCGAGAGCGGGCCGAGGCACTTGGCCAGCACTGTCTGGCACATCAGCGCGTCCGGCGCCAGCACGCGGCTGCCCGCGCGCAGCGTCGGCGACACGTGGAACCAACCTGAACCCTGGACATTTAAAAAAATTAAATTTTTGAAGAAGTTACCTTCTATTATATATTCCGCGTGGAATTAAAACGAAAATCGAGTAACCTATCTGTTCTTCCTAACTATCATCTACGTCTACGCCAAATTTCATCGAGATCCGTCTATCCGCTTAGTCTACAAACTCAAACAAACATCCATCCATCTAAACTTTCGAAGGTTGAACATCCTGTGTATTTATTTCCGATTGTGTACAAATCTAGCTTTGTGAATTTATCCTATTTTATTTATTGGCGATAGTACACCTGAGGGCCCAAACGGGATTCTGCGCTGTCGTAGACGAAGTAGTAATGGTAGCAGCCGGCGCGGGCCAGCCGCAGCGAGCAGTACGCGTCCGTATCCGTCAGCAGTAGCCCGCTGCCCAGCGCCTCGCCCCCCACCTCGCACTCCTCCTCCTCCCCGCCCATGCGCCACTCCAGACCATAGTACTGATTGCGGACGAACTCTGCTTGCTCGCCTTTTTCATCTACTGATATGTTTTCTAATTTTATTAAAAGAAATCTCTAGATACAGTTTCCATATTATAAGGCACTAATTTAGTCTCTTTAAACGTGACTCCTAAATTCTACATAGATTAAGTTATACTCACGTGTGTCGTTCACCACATAATTTGTGTAGAGGAAAACCTTTCTTCCGAGGAGACTGGGACCCGGGCTGAATCTCAGAATGCATCCTTTTTCAAACCTAAAAATTTAATGCTTTCTTAACACTTCTAAATAAGATGATAACGAGAAAACATTTTCATTTTCTATGGTTTAAAGCTAGAAACAAGCTGAAAGATCTGATATAGTTTGTCATATTAATGTTGATACATTCGATTAAAAAAATGAGAATAAACATTTATTGCTTGACCGATAGAAGGGTAACGTTTATTTATGTATGTTCATTACATTGTCGCTGCTTGGAGGCATAGCTAGACGGTCTACAGTCAGTCGGGACGTATTATTTAAATAAACGACTAGTACAATGTTCGTAGCGTCAGCACTTAATACAATGCTACGAAAACCGAACTTAGGCCTCTAACAGAAGCTACCTGTAGAGCGTAGCATCCTGGTGCTCGCCGTGGTTGAGGGTGAGGATTCGCACCTCCTGCGTCGCTTCCGCGCTCTCCCTCGACTCCCGAGCTTCATTCGCCCGCTTCTCCACTGCCATTTGTCTCTACACAAATTATTACCTGACATGTTACTTTCTTATAGTGTCCCAGAAACACCAGCTGTATTTCTGACGAAGGAGAAACAGAGGTAAATTTTAAGACTAATCAGGTTCGATAACCTTTTCGATGACCGCCTTTTCGTGCACCTTCCGAGCGTAGTCGCTCTTGTCGCGAGACGACATGTTGGGGACGAGAGCGTACGCGTGTGTGCCGTGGGCGGCAACGCGTGGTGACGTGTGGCGACGCGTGGTGACGTGTGGGATCGCGTGGTGTGGTATAGTACCGCGTGATGACGCGTGTTGGGCGCGTGTCGTGTGGCACGGCTGACGACACAGTGGCCGCGCCGCTGCGGCCACCCTGCCTTATAGCCGCGGCACGCACCACCGTGACCACACCAACACCCGACACCGCGAGGATCGCTTTCAAGCTTTTGTTCTGACCGCATGTTATGTTTGACCTATTCACTATACTATTCGGTGCGTGGACCTTTAAGTAGCAACCTATTTTACTGTGTTCATCTTTTTACAATCTAAATACGAACGTTCTACTTTGAATAAAACATATAATAATTCCTTATCATCATAATATCTCGTAATGTATTTAAAAAAAGATTACCGTTTATAGTTATGACTAATCGTAACCACTTTTACCTGTACAATTTCTTGAACAATAATAATACTCCCTTCAAGAAAGAAACATCCTTTAAATTCATCGCTATAAAATGTGTTTTCAATAAGCATTCTAAAATATGGTTGACGTTACTCAAATTTTTTAGTACCTATCAAAAACTACCTAATATTATTAAGATTGGGATAACTCAATAGTTATAGTCCATTGGCATGAGCTTATCGAATACCGATAGGCAACAGCTGACAAACAACTTCGGCCTTTATTACGTATTATACCTATTTATACGCTAATTATTTGTTCTGTTATCTTTCTTGGCCTTAGCGCCTGAACTTATCAGCATCTATATCAGTCAATTCATATCAATATGTCACCTACGGTATGACCTTTGTTGCAACCGCGCATACCAAACAAAATCCCATTGGCAAATTTTCATTGAAAAAAAGTAAACATTTCTTCTGTCCATTCTTCATATCGTTCACAAGTTTCTGATATAACTTCGAACAGTACTATAACATCTATAAGTTAAATAGATAACAAGAGAACTTGAACATACCCTACTCTCCCTGAAGGTGGTAAAACGAGCTAAGCAGGATAACATTAGAATGGTTTAGAAACCAAACCACAGTCACTCAATACTACCAATGGACTGATCAATTGTTATCGAAATGATTCGATTTTCGAAACGCTCCAGAAGAAATTCAATTAAATTGAAACAAATGCTAGTTAACTGCAGATATTGGAATAGAGTTTAAACGATTTTGTTGCAACTCGAATATGGAACTAAATTCTAACAGATTTATTGATTAAAGATAGATATTTTATTTGGTAAACAATATTAATTGTAATAGGTACCTAATTTTTTGATTTAGCATGTGGAAAACAAGAGTAAAAACTCTTCCGCCCGTCGTGCCAGCTCATATAAGTGTTAGGAATATAAATTCCTTCAACTATTATAATAGTACCATAGTTTTACATGCACATGCAATTAGTCTAAAGTCCTCGCGGAAGATCAGTGCAGGGTACAACTAGAAGCATCCAGCATTTATAGCTGTGCCAGGACCCAATACGGTCAGCATTGCAATGATCATTTTAAATGTTTCTTTTGTCTTTTAATTACGTTTTTATTATTATTTATTTCATTACTTTGTTTTTTCTAATTGTACCTATTGAAATGTTGATAGGGATTAAGTGTTATATCATTTTTTTATTTTTAAATTGTCGACATATATATCCATAAATATTTTAGGAATGGACATGTTCATTTTTAAAATAAACCATGTTAAAACATTAGTAATAACATTTTATTCGAACAAATACATACAATAGAACATGATTAACTAGATTAACGTAGAACAGGACCATTTACAGAAAAATTATTAGCTCTTTGATGTTTACACCACTTTAATAATGCTTCCTCAATATTTGTGTTCTTGGTTGTTCTTACCCCTCTCATTCAAATAATTGGCATCGTAAAGTATTTTGATCTTTTCTCTTTTTGACCAGATACACAATATTGTTGAATGTGGCACACCAAATTCTTTTGCCTAGTCTTTGTTTAAAGTTTACTCTCTAACTTTGATATTACATGATAATTTCTCTTTGATATTTAAACTTTTTCTTTTCGCTTGTGACATATTAAAAGTTGGTCTGTCTTGTACACTTATGAATGAAGAAAACAATTTATGACTTAACCAGATTTTAAAAGACTTCAATAAAGGTCTATTTTGACTGTAATTACTAAATATAATATGTGTTAGAGTTTTTATATGTTATGTTACTGGCAGGCAACACTTTAAACAGGAAGGATAATTTGAATATTGGAACAATGTATTTAAATTTTATAAAGTATTGTATTTTGATGTTTAGAAGAGACTTCTCATCACGACACGTACCAGGCAATATATGTAATCATAAGACTTTATTAAAAATAATATGTGACAGTTTTTATACTGTGAATATACCAGTTGAATATGTGAATACGAGTGTTTCAATAGACCCTTCACTTCCAGAGTCCGGGACGGTGAAAAGCAACCGTCCAACAATATGCAATAACTTCATAATTACATAACATAATTATTTAATACATAAGAAAAACATTTTATTGATTTGCAAAGTAGAGTTTTTTTGAAGTACCTTTAAAGTTTTAATAAGTAAAACTTTCTTGTTAAACCATTTTTTAAGAATTCCTTTATATTACAATTATTTATTACAAACACAGACTGTGTGAACTTTTGTAACAAGTTTGTTATTGTTTTGGTCAAAATATAAACAAAACCACTTTTTTAAAAGATAATGAAGTTTAATTGGACAAAAGATATAACAGGTTACAAATGTTGTCTATATAAACCGGAATCTGTCGTTTGATAGACGTCTTGGTATTTTAAATAGTTATATTTTCAATGGAATAAATATGTCATAACATAATACTCACAAGAAAATGATGTGTGATGTTTTCAGTAACTCATTCCTTTACATTAGATATTTTTTTCCAATTGGAAAATAATATTTATCTATCTATAACTCTTTGTTCGAGGGAAGATGTGTTATTTTGATTTGAACTAATTCCCTCTTTTGAATTAACCCAATATTTGTGACAGTTATCACCTCCACATGACCTTCAATTAAAACGTTTTGTATTAAGTGTAATAAAGATTTATTTTTGAAAGAAAGTATGCCAAATGAGTTAATTACTATTAGCTGAAACGAACGTAATACTTAGGGATTATGATTGATAATAACAGAGGCGAGTACATTTAAAAAAGAAGCTTTGGCAGAATGGTTTATGTTGCTTTTACCTATTTGTGAGATTTGAAGAAAAAAAAAAACATTGTCAAAAAACTTTTTTAAATTGACAAGTTTCTTACTTTCGTTGACTATCACTTGTATACTACAACTTTCCTGTCTTTCATGAACGTGAAATTAAAAGATAAATAGACTTATACAGTTTGCTATTTACTTAAAGCCACATACAACATGAAGGTAAAAAATGTGCACTCGCGAAACGCCACCGTGTAAATGTCAAAATTAGGTTAGTATTAGTGTTGAAAATTTCTTCGACATAGTTGCTTACTTATTTACTTTCATCAATCATATTTATGTTGTTTTCGTTTTGTTTTGTAAAAAATGACACCTGTTCTACCTGTTGCTTTATTACCTATCGGTGTCCGGGGTATGAAAGTGCTTAATCGTCAGAAATTCTTGCGTAATGTGGTGGTGCCAATACTAAAAGTGAGCGATGAAAAGGTATCTAAAGTGACTCCTATTTGTAAGAATTACCTCTTGAAACTCGATAGTTTCAAGCCTGTACAAACTCTGAAGCCAAATTCTGAAAATTCACACAAGATTATACATTTAAACCCTGAAAAAATTAGTCAATGGATGGATTTCCAAGATTCAGAACGTGAAATTCTTCAGAAATGTGGAATTACAGAAAAAGATTTCGATTCAAAAGAGATACAAATAACATATGAAAATTTTAAATATGATGCTATTTTCAAAGCGGTACTACCTGAAAATGAAGACACTGTAAGTGGATTTTCTCAAATAGGTCACATTATACATTTAAATTTGCGAGATCATCTTTTGGATTACAAGCAACTTATCGGTGAAGTACTGATAGACAAAATTAAAACATGCAGTACGGTTGTTAATAAAAATAACATCATTGATAACACATATAGAAATTTTAGCATGGAAATTATCGCCGGAGAGGAAAACTACATAGTTTCAGTAAAAGAAAACAATTGTAACTTTAGATTTGATTTCTCCAAAGTATATTGGAATCCACGTTTAAGTAAAGAACATGAAAGAATATTGGAATACTTGAAACCAGGAGATGTTTTATTTGATGTATTCTGTGGAGTTGGTCCCTTTTCCATACCAGCGGCGAAAAGAAAGTGTAAAGTATTTGCTAATGATTTAAACCCAGATTCATTTACATGGTTAAAGTTTAACGCTAAGCAAAACAAAGTTGATACAAAACTTTTTAAATCATACAATATGGATGGCAAAGATTTTATATGCAAAACTTTTAAAGATTTTGTAATTGAGTTGTGTAAAGGAGAAGTGCAGAAGGAATTCAAAATACATGTAACAATGAATCTACCAGCAATGGCTGTGGAGTTTTTAAAACATTTTAAAGGATTATTGGAAGATAAATCCCTTATGGAGAAATTTCATTATGAAATTATTGTTTATGTGTACTGCTTTGTAATTGGTGATGACCCATATAAAAATGCTGAAGAACTGGTGAAGGAAAACATTGGTTGTCAAATAGATAATTTACATATTTTTTATGTGAGAAATGTATCTCCTAAGAAAGAAATGATGCGAGTAAAATTCAATCTAACTAAAAGTATAATATTTGGTGAAATACAAGAATTGGAATGTGAACCTCCCCAAAAGAAAATATGCATAGAAAAAGATATTACAGATTGAAAAAAAATTAAGGAAGCATTAATTAATGTGGAGTCTGTACAACTATTACAGTGTTTTCTGTATTCTGCAGGTATATAAGTGAAAATCTGTTATGATTTATATTTTTTTAAATAAATAAGGTATAAAGGAATCTTAAAGTTTCATTAACAACACCTTAATATAAATATCTAATTAAAAAGTTGTTAGTAAAACATTCAAATCATACTAATATTATAAATGTGAAAGTTTAGATGGATGGATGGATGTATTGTTAGAGTATGTAGCCAAAACTGCTGAATGGACCTCAATGAAATTTTGCATAGACATAGAGGATAGTGTGGAAGAACACACAGGCTACTTGGTTTTGTTTTTTTTATACCACTTGGAGGGAGTCACAAGTGAAGGCTAGTCACTTCATAAATAAAAACCCAGCTCATTTGACTGTGTATTTATTTATTTAATCTTACAGATTTTATTATTATTGAGTATTGGGCTTCCAAATTGTTTTAAATGTAAACAGTAAATATTTTAAAACATCATTGTATCATTAGTAAATGTTTACAAATATAATATACATTTGTTTTTATTCTATTGTTCAACATGTGACATCTTCATTAGGTCATTACTTGCAATGTGTTTTAGTCAAATGCCGAGTGCATTTATAGGTTTTGTTATGGTAGTTAAGAATTCTAACTGTTTAATAAGGCAATATAAATTTTAAGTATACAGTAAAAACACAATTTGCATAGATAAGTGATAATACAGCATGATTGTTAGACTATATTCAAGCTATTCAAAAAATAGTCTAAAATTTTATTGTATAAGGTCTCATGTATCTAAATGACAATCAAAGATGTAATTTTTTATTTAATTAATATCATTACTCCAACTGAAGCTGAAACTGCAAAAATGTAAAGATAAAAAATATTCAACTTTAGTTTTGTTAACAATAAAATTAATTTGAATAAAAATAACAAACATATATGATGTCAATTTGAAACAGATAAAAAACGAGTTTATTTTTCCTTTGTGAACAAAACAAATTTACAACAAACGACAATATTACAACAAACTACTTACGACAAGTCTTATTTGTACAGTTACCTTCAACTGAGAAGCACGTTTCGATTTCTCTTTGCGCCAAGTTTGTTTCACCCAGTTAATTAACTTTTTAATAGTCGATTTTAGGTAAATTTATTTTAAAATGCCACAAAAAATGGAAAACGGTAACATGGAACTACCAGATATTACAGAAGTTCTGGAAGAGACAAAACAGGTACGATATTTCTATAATGCTATTAATGTAATTTATATATAAAAATTGGGTGTTGAAACCTAACTGATATAACTGTTAACTGTCCAGTCTTAAATAGTGAGAGTTAAATGAAGAAACAAAAACGATTGATCTTGATTGTTTCTTCTCTTTCTTTTACCCATGTTTTTTTTGTGAGTTGGAGACTGCTTTATTATAACCTTCATTTTACCCATACTTTAAAGCAATTAATAATTATCATTTGCAGATAATACAAAAATGTTTCACACAGTTCCAATTAGACGAAGTATTTTTTTCTTTTAACGGTGGCAAAGATTGCACTGTGTTACTAGATGTGACAATCGATGTATTAAAAAGTATGTATAAGAGAGAAGATGTAGGAAAAGATCTGAAAGTATTGTATATTAGGACGAAAGGACCGTTTAAAGAAATAGAGAAATTCGTAAAAGAAATAGAAAGTCATTATCAAATTAAACTCATAGTAGCTGAAGGGGACATGAAAAAAGTACTTCAGAGAATAACAGAAAGTGATACAAATTTAAAAGCGTGTCTAATGGGTACAAGACGGACGGATCCGTATAGTGAACATTTAAAATTTATGCAGGTAAATACAGTTTGTTGACTACTTCCTATATGTTATTCTCCATATTTTTTTTAATTTGTCCATGTTTTAGCAAACAGATGGAGACTGGCCGCAATTCCTGCGAGTGTCGCCCCTCTTGGATTGGACGTACCATCAAATATGGAGTTATATACTACAGCGACATGTGCCCTACTGTAGCCTTTATGATAAAGGGTAATGTATCTGCATACGTAAATAAAAGCAGTTAGCGTAATTAGCTCCTATAGTGTAGGTGTACACTTAAAAATAAATTAAGGAATTCAAGAAGGAGGCGATTCTTATAATAGTTATGATCGTTTAACCTCCTTAGTAGCACAAAAAAGGTTAAACTTATGCAAGGTCAAACTGGCAACGCACGCTCGACGCCGTGGAAAAAGGATTTGCGCAACAATTGAGAAACGGACATCGAGAAAAATCGCCTTCATTTAATATCTAGGATTTGCCCGCGACTTTCCGTGTCGAATTAAAAAAAAATAAAGTAACTTAGTAGTTAGTATTCTTCCGTCGTCCCCTACAAATATTTCCAAATTTCATTGAGATCAGTTTAGCTTAGGCTACTAACAAACATCCATCTAAACTTTCGCATTTATAATATTAGTAAGATAGCTCTTCTACCACGTATTTAACGTAGATATTTGTCTGCAGCTACACGTCGATAGGCAGTACATCTAACACGCGACCCAATCGGGCGCTGGCGTATAACGAGAAGGGCGCGGTGTTGTACCGTCCCGCGTGGCAGCTGAGCGACGCTGCACTCGAGCGCGCTGGACGCGGTAAACGCGCGGACAACGGACACGCGCACGCGAATCACGATATACAGGAAACCTTATAACATACGTAACTACGGAGTTAAACAATTATTTTATTTAGCTCACTGTAAGTCCTCTACAAGGAGATCGGAGCCTAAAATAGACAAATATAAGTACGCTTATTGTGATGTTTGAACATTGCAGTGATCTTATAGACAAGCTGTTGCTCGCGATTTCGTCCGCGTGAAATAAAATATATAGCTTTTGTTACTTATTGATAACATAGCTTTTTAATAGTGAAAGAATTTTTAAAATCGATCCAGTAGTTTTTGAGTTATTGCAATACATACAAAAATATGGTGCAAAATATATTGAAATTAAAATATACATTTTTTTTTTATTAGTAGAATTTTTAAGGCGGCTAAGCCGATGTGTATTTTTTAGCAACTCAGGTTTATAATGTACGTATATTGTGCCTATAAAATTGGGTAAATGTGGGAAAATCTCAGTTATTTCCTACCTTAATTTATGCTCAAAACTACTAGTTCATAGAAAGTTTTTTTTTTAGAAATGTCACAAATCCCAGTGGAATGTTCTGCAAGTCACAAATTTATTATTACTTTAGCATAATTATATGTGATTTTAATATGGGTGTTTTTTTTATATTTAATATTTAATTTGACTAGTAGATAACAGATGTCAATAAAAAAAATAAACGTTTATTGTCTCATGAAAAGAACACATAAACGATTAAGCTACTAAAACGGGAGAGAATGTGGGGAAATACAAAGTAAGACTATTCTCTGAATCGGTGTTTTAAATGAGTTCTTTGCTCTCATACTAATTTACACCTTAGCAATGAGGGTAACTTACCCTTAAAAGTATGTATATTTTAAATAAGAATGTAAAAAGTATGTATTCCGAAAGTTTCGATTAATTTATTGATAATTATTCTATTTGGCGTTTTTGTATTATCAATGTTATTAAGTTAATGATTTCGAAAAATGTAAAAAAAACATTGAAAGGACATCAGTCTACATTTCAAATAAAATACATTGTGGGTGGGTTTTTATTTATTTTAAAACTTCTATTTGGAAGATACCTCGTTTCCTATCTTTGTTATATATTTATGTGTTGATTGGGAGCATATTATTTTTTGCAAGATCAAAGGAAAGATTGCTCGATATGGGTTTTTCAATTTAGAGGTACCTATCTATTCTACTTTTTTCTCTTACCCCTAACATGAGGATTAGGGATCTTTTTGGGCTAGATGCTTTTATTCCCTTTTTTCTTTATTATTTGAAATATTTTTTCTAATTTACATTCCTAATTACAATTGTAATGTTTTTATTTAATTACAAAATAATTTTAACTTGAATAATCATTGTAATTATTTAACTAAAGATCTGTTTGAATTGTAAAAAAAATACGTCAATTGGGGGTAATGTAACCTCATGTTATAATAATTATTTATAAACTATGCAAGGAATCAAATTTATTTATTGTAGTTAATTTTATTTGTACTTAAATTTAAATAAATTTTATAGTTATGACATCGACTTTTTATTTTACTTTCATGTTTCCCAAGACGCTATTCTAAAAAAATGGAAATTTTTAAATAAAAAAATTAAACATTTTCATACATATACATATTTAATCGTTTTATCTTATTTTATACGGGAGTATTTAATTAAACTCTTATTACTAAGTTTTACTGTCCATGTTGTTTGGTTTGACGTGTTTCCTTAAAAATTCTTGGAACATGGCAACATCTTCTGGTTTGTCATCTGGAAATTAAAAATGCCACTTGATCATATTGTATTTTGTACAAATACATAATTCAACTAGCTTTCGCATCTGACTCCGTCCGCGCGGAATTAAAAAAAACAAATGAAAGTAGTCTGTGTGTTCTTCCAGACTATCCTCTACATCTATGCCAAATTTCATCAAGATCCATTCAGCTGTTAACAAACTCTAACAAACATCCATCCATCCATTCAAACTTTCGCATTTATAATACTAGTATGATAATGTCTCACCTTCAATAACCCCAGCCTCGGTTCCCTCCTCATCGCTGGAGCTCTCATTGCCCGGGTGTTTCAGATACATATCTGCTATCTCCCTCCCCGACACTACCTCTTCTATAAGTTTCTTCTTGTCTATCACTGCCTCGGATGAATCTGCAATTGTTTTATTTTCTGTTATAATTTAATTAACGAAACAATTATCGGTACATTTTTACACAGTTTTAAATGTTATTTTTTTTATATTTTTTATAAATCCTACCATGTGTATCTCTTTTCAACTCTTCCTCTTGTCGTTTTCTTTCTTCCTCTTTCTCCTGTTTCATTTTGAGCCAATCCGCTTTATATTCTCTGAAAAATATCTTTATGTAAATACAATCAAAAACGTAAAATAAGCATCTATATATTCAACATAAAATATGTGGAATGAATAAATAAAGATACTTACTTCTCATATTCTTCAGCAGCTACATCAACTAACTTGAAGAATTCATCAAATCCCTGCAGTAAAAAACATAAACAATGGTAACAAACATTTCCATGTTTGAAAAAATCTGCCATATACCAATATATTTCAAACCAACTGATTAGTTTAAATGGATAGGTCATTATTAAGAAATAACAGCTATTTATGTTGATAGTTCAGTCTACCTATATTATTAGGTTGAATTCTCTACCGCTACCAATCACAACTGTTTACTACAAAATGGTGAAAATCAAATACCATGTCTTATCCAGTCTATTTATAGAAGTCACTGTAAAAATCTCAAAATGAAAGACTAACATCTCCGGTGTGTGCACTGACACCACAGCACTTCAGGTCTGAGTAGAAGTTGTCGAGTGCGAGGGCCATGGAGCGCGCCAGGTTGCCGGCGTACGAGCCGCCTTCGCTCGAGCTCTCCGTACCCGCGTCCAGCGCCTCTTGGAACGACTCGAAGTCACGCATCCATTCCACCGCATATGCGTTGTCTACTACATCTGTCTGATATTCATATATAAAATAGTTATTTGTATATAATATTAGCTGTTCCTCGCGACTTTTTCCACGCGATAATAAAGAATATAGCTTATGTTACTTACAGATAATATAGCTTATTAATGGTGAAATAATTTTTCAAATTGGCTCAGTAGTTTTTGAGTCATTACAATACATACAAAAATACTAATCTTTCCTCTTTATGATATAAAGTACAGATATAGATAACACCTATACTTGAATAGTGTAGTGTAGAGAAGGTATATAAAATATTGTGTGTTAATAATGAATCTTATACCATCAATCAATTTATGCTTTAACTCTCTCATGGTCATTGCTTGGAAATGATAATTTTTACTTTAACCTTTCCAGCGCTACCAACCCAACCATCAGCCAAAAATGGTGTATTTCAAACAAGTACAAGACATAATTTAAAGCATGTTCTTAATCAATGGTTACATTTAAGTTACTTGAATATAAGAAATATACATTTTATACACAAATAGGCTTACCTTGTTCATAACAACAATGAAAGGCAGTCTCGTCTTGTACAAAATGGAGCAGGCATACAACATGTTGGACATAAATGTAACTGGAGACACACTTCTCACTGTGTCCATGACATACACTACCACGGTTGGACAAGATGATGCAAGAGTTTCCGTCACTATTGTGCCTGATGCTGACCATGTGAATACTTCTATTTGACCTAGAGATACCAATATTTATAGGTATAAGATAATGATTTCTCCCCCATAACAAAAAAAAGTATAAGATCAATAATATTATTTAATTTTCCCTTATTCATGCTATGAGTAGATTTTAAATGGTAAATCAATAATTTATTTATATGATCTTATTTTAACAATTTCACATTTAGAACTTAAGGAGTTATTTTTTTATTTGACTTAAATGTAATTACAGTATTTTTTTTTAAATATAAATTATATTTTTCATGCTTTGAATAAAAATATATTTATTTACCTGGTGTATCAATGACACAATATTTATGTTTCTTCCCAGCTTTCTCAATCAAATCTACAACTTGACCGAATTTTGTTGAGAACAAATTCAGGGCTGTGACAATACCACCATTAGGTCCTAAGCCATACTGTTTCATCACTTCCTTATAATCTACTGTATCTCTTACATCTGCAAAGAAAATTATTGAGGGTTTTTCATTGCTTACACGATTTTCATACAAATGTAACTAACATTGTTCCCCGACTTTAAAAGTTTATAGAAAATAACACCGAACACAAAATGACAACATAAATAGGATCGTGCGAATAGAACTTTATACCTATATTAGCTGGATAAGGTACTTCTCTGCAAGCCGGGTCCAAATTGATCAAATACGGTCGGGAACCTTCCACTATTTTCCCCGCCAAACGTCTCGTAAATGAGGTTTTACCAGCTCCCGCCATTCCTTAAAACAAACAGTACATGTTTATTTAAGATTAAACCTATATCTTAAATCCAAATAGCAATAAATAAAACAAAAACAAATATCTAACCTAAAATGATCAGGCATATTGGTTTTCTACTTTCTTCGTCCATAATGATATAGTTTATTTAGTTAAGTACTACGTTTATTATCCTTTAGAATTTAAGTGAGTAATAATTACAAATTGAAAAAAAAACACCGCAATTTTCGCAGTAGGTTACCACAATTTTCCTGTCACTGTCAAACAAAAACAAATCAAACCTGACAATTTATTTGACGTTATGCCATAGACACAGAAATGCAGAATATAAAAGATTATTGCGTTGATCCATTAATTCGATCAGTCATTGACGATCTTTAATCGATATCTACTGATACATCGATTCATATTAACATTCCATTTGATTGGAGATCATATTTTATATCACAAGGTGGCAAACGAGCCAGCGGTCATCTGAATTCGACGAGAAAGCGAAGCGATCGCTGCTCATATACATCCGAACTTGCAAATGTGTTATTCTATATTTCCCTTTCTCATATGTCTCCTCCACCGTCAAATCCACTTTTTTTCCCCATCCTTTCCGTCATTATCAAAGAAAACGCGGAATTTCTTGCACTGGGCGAGCTGGCCCATGGGTACGAATATGTTTCAACAAGTGGAGTTTTGGAGGAGAGCATTTTCGGTATTTTTTGCTTTACTTCTAATTTGCAAGTTGTATTCAAATAAAAATAAAACAATTATTACAGTAAATTAGGCACTTTTATTATTCGATTACTATTTTAAACTATTTACATTATTTACAGATTCTGTAAATCTTAAAGTTTAATTTTCTTTGTCGAGATTCAAGAACATTATGGGATACAAATGTCCTAGTTTTGATATTCTCTTTTGAATGATAAGTCGCAGGGTGTCCGTGTAGGTGGATGGCGGCTTGCACGTAGAAGGGTCTCGCCAGTGAAGACCTATAGAAAATATCAATATTTGAAGTTATTTTTTCAAATCAAAAGTAAAACCTCAGCATAAGGAATAAAATATGCGCATTTACCCGAAGAATCACAAGTAAACAATGCTGGCGAAGGCACATGGTCTCTTGTGTAATTCCATAGACAATCTCGTAATACTTGTACAAGCTGTAACAAAGGCAATATTATAAACGCCTGCATTAGAAATTAAAAATTCGCAGAAAGTAAATTGCAACTAATACATGTACGTCACAATCGCAAACATGAATTCGAACTTGAAACTCAAATTTCGGCAAGTGACGAAACCTTAATGTTTGGATTTTTAGGAACCTTGACATACTCTTAGTGTCATGGTTATTAAAATAATCCACTAAAATGATAAAATGTACAAGCATAACTGTAATAATAAATCTATCGATTCCGACTTCTATAAGAATAAAAATCGAAAATCGAAAAGATTCATGCCTCATTTTACAGAACCCATCCCTACTAAATTGTCAAATGAATTGTCGAACTATAGTTTGTCTAAATAAAATAGATTAGTTTGATAAATGACGCATATGACAGGTATCGTAGTGACGAAACAAACACGCATAGCGAACAATTTAGAACTATCGATATACGGTTTAAATAATTATCGAACTCGACTATAGTTATTATTTCCTTATAAACTACTTTATAGGACAATTCTGGTATTGATTATAGTGTAGAGAATTTAGCGATGACAGAAATAATAGCGAAATCCAATTCGATTACGTACGGTATAATAAACATTTATTTACTCTCATTATTTGTTGTGGTCATTATTAATTTGAGAAAACAGTTTTTTTTTAATATCATAACAAATAACTATAAATCTATCGATTCCAACTTCTATAAGAAAAATCGAATATCGATAAGATTCATGACTGATTTTACACAACCCGTCCCTACTAAATTTGAAATGAATTGTCAAACTAATCTAAATTATTTAGAACACTATAATCAATCTTAATTAGACAAAGTATAAACAGTTATAGTTGTATCGAATGTTGTGTGACCTCTCCCGCGGTGAGCTCTGGCGCCAGCTCCAGCATGTGCGAGAGCGGGTGCGGCAGCAGCTGGCCCAGCGACATCACCGACAGCAGCTCCGACAGCGCCGACAGCTCGCGCGCCGCCTCCGCCCCGCGCCCCTGCCGGTCTGCACACAGGCACATCTCACATTTTTAATACTAGACACACACTTAAAATTATCTTACTAATACAAAAAATGTCAAACTTTAAATGGATAGATGTTTGTTAGAGTTGAATGCTTCTATGGCGAAATAGGTGTGCAAGATTGTCTACCTCTGTCACAGATGTATATATGTATATAGTGTTAGTTACCGAGGTGTGCACGCAGACGATGCAGCAGCGTGGCGGCGGCGGCGCGCAGCAGCGCGGAGGCGAGGCAGAGCGCGGGCCGCGCGCGCGCCACTCGCCGCAGCGCCGCGCGCGACACTGCGCACCGCTCTACTGCGCCACGCATGTATAGCTCGCGCTCTATGCTTACTTGCTACATACACAAATTAATTGGGTTATACTGCAGATGAGCTTATTTCTCTTTTTTTTAAAGAAAATAACAGTTTATATACAAAGAGAATGGCTGAGTGAAGTCAATGGGCCGATTGAAGAGTTACATATCCGATCTCTGTGGTTGGCAAAGATTAAGGATTGTGAGATGTGACACACTGGCCACTAAGAACCATTAGACATTTATCATTTGGAAAAAGATAATTGAATAATTGATGTAAATGTGTAAGTTTTATTATTAGCATATTTACAAATGGTCCTATTAATTTGGACACACATTAATATTTGCAATAACGATTATAACCTAGAAGTAAAAAAAAACAGTCACCTTAGTAAAGTCTTCATCCGGCCACGGCAGACCATTGTACATAACATCGGGAGACACGAGTTCCACCAGCAGCAGAGAGACTGACGTCGCCCCCTCCACTATACCACTGTTGCCGTCCTGAGTAAAAACAATACTTTAGTTTTTTTTATTTTAGTGCACAAGTGGCTTTTTTTAATTTAAACAAAAATATGATCGTGCTCACCATACAAGACATGAGCGCGCCCATGAGCAGCTCATTATTGGTGGTGAGTATGGGAGGGATGTCCGCGTCGGCCGCGCCCCCCGCGCCGCCGCCACCGCCCTTGCGCACGCCCTTGCCGATGATGCCGGCGTGGAACACCGACGTGTGGCTCTGCGTCAGCTGCGTTATCGGGCCCTGGACACAACATGTAACGATTTATCGCTTTACATAGCATAGACATTACACATCAATAACAAGTGTATAGTAACTGAATGAGAATGAATATGTGTGTAATTGTCGAGTACGTGTGTAAATACTAGAAAAGTGTGTAATCATTGAGTATATGTGTAATTGTCGAGGATTTGTGTAAACGTTGAGTATCTGTGTAATGGTTGAGTTTGTGTGTAATGAATGAGTCCATGTGTATCATGTGTAAAGCCTGACGTGCTGCTGGTTGAGGTGCATGAGGCGGTGGTGCACGGGCGAGGCGGCGGCGGCGTGCGGGCGGCTGCCGAAGGCGCGCTCCTCGCGGAACATGGCGGTCTCCAGCAGGTCGCGCAGCGCCAGCGCCCGCGCCAGCTTGCTCTGCGCGCACAGCTTGCGCAGCAGCCGGCACGCGCCCTGCACGCCGCTTATCTTCTCCATTGTATCTATATTATAAAATAAAACATCATTACAAAAAATAATATTTTCTACCGCCTTATATACACGATTGTTGTATATTAAATAAATCATTTTTTTAAATCATTCCTATCAAATGTAATATAGTTTTCAATGGCTTATGAAATTACAATAGACTTCATTAACGTCGATCTCCAAGTTTCCTAAAAAAATTGTGCATTTTTAATAAAGTATCCTATACAAAAGTTAAGAAGCTTACCTTCTATATGTAAGCATCTAAAGAAGTATTTAACGGTTGCCTGTACCACTTTTAGTATCGCTTCCACACTGGGCGGGGGCGATTTTGTACCCGTTATGTCCACTCTATCCAACACCTGAAAAAAATTTTTTTTGAAATCACAACTCAAACAAATTTCTATAAAATGTGTTAAAGATGAATGAAAATGTTAGAATTTTTTTTTTAATTATTGTGATGATTTGTGACAATTTGCAGTGTATAAGGTTAAGTTTGAAGGTACCTCAACGAGCGCATGGCACGTGGGCATCTCTGGCAGGGAGTGCATGGTGTGGGCGTGGCGCGTGCGCAGCAGCGAGGCGCGCTCGTGCAGGGCGCCGCCCACACGCTGCAGGTTGGCCTCCACCGCGCGCCCCACGGGCCGCGTGCGCAGGTAGAACACACGCCCCGACCCCTCCCATCTAGTTTCCAGGCGGATAATTTAACAGTGGTAGAGCCCGCTTTAATATCTTCGCGTGAATGGGTGGGATGCCAGGTGTAATGCGACCACACAGAAGACAGGCGTGAGTGGGAGCAATTTCGCGTTTCGTCTGATCCATGTGGTGCTGGAGGCACAATTTTAGTCCCCTTCCCGTTCCACCCTTATCTCATATAGGATTGGATGAAAAACTGGATTTGGTAGAGGAGACGCATAGGAAGGGGAAATATCCTCTTTATATGCGTCGTAAATAGATTTTTAAAATAAAAACGACAAATATTCAATCCTTACCTTAGCAGTTTAATAATGTTCAAACAGTAATGATGCAAATAAGTCTTTTCGTCTTGAGCCACAGTATCTTGTATGAAACACTTTTTAATCTGAGTGTCGGACATCATGGCTTCTCTTAGAGCATATTCTACGCCTGTTTTTATAAAATTCTGATATCTCTCAGTATCAGTACTGATGTCTGTAGAATCATTTGGCTTGTGCATAGTTATTGTACCATATATGATCCGTACTAGCAATGCCAGCGTTGTATCATTCCTTGAGTACTGCAGGAAGTAACTAATCGTTGACACAAACTCTGAAGGTAAAATGGAACCTAAAAGTTCAAAAAATTTGACCATTTGATTAAGCAGCCGACTAATAGATAACTATTCAGAGTATTTTTTTTTTTTGTAAAAGATGTAATTAATTATTTATACAAGAACATAATATTAGAATTCACATATAATTTTAAAGATTCATTTCAAACATTTTTTTACTTTTAATTTTTATAATTCTGTATTTTGTTCAATTATATATATTATATATCCTTATATAACAAGGTTGATTCCCTGTATTAAAGGACATTTTCATCAAGGACAGTATCATGTCTTAAGATTAGTTGAGCAATGACTAAAGCAACTAATCAACCGAATCAAGAGCAACAAACTAGTCAATCAACCGATTGTAATTATTCGCTAACTTAAACCTGTTAAGTTTGGTAGCAACAACTTAAGCAATATAATTCCTATTAATTTAACACTTACCAACTAAAATAAGTATCCTGGCTAAAGAATTCTGCTCCAGTTGATTGCCAGTGAGCAGCCTCTCTCGCACCATGGTGATCTCCTCTGCAGCACTCGTCAACAGAGGGATGTTCCTCTCCGGGAACAGACATTCAAACTCCAGCTTTTGTAAGAGATATTCTGAAAGTATAGTAAGTAAATTATAATAAAACAACCTTCCACATGGAAGATATACTTTTTTCATTAAAAAAAACTATTTTTCAATTATTAACATCTAACAAAATAATTTGCATAAGATTAACGTAAATTAGTAACTTTAAATTTTTCATGTGATTTTACTAAATACAAATAAAAATTATTAAAAACACCTTTGTAGTTACAATTAGCAACACTAACCTAACAACTGTCTTGAGAATAGATTCTTCTGCGCGTGTTTGAGTAACAGAAACAGGCAGTGTATATCAGAGCGCAGCAGCAAGGAGACAATGGCTGCGGGGCCGACACCCTCCCACGCCCCGCTGTGTCTGTGAGCCATGCACACCGCGCTCAGACGCTCCAATACTTCATCCGTTACTGTGATTATACATTCAGTTATGTTTAAAACAAAATGCAATACTTTTAAAACATCTCAATATTGTACAGTTTGGGAATATGGTGGTGTTCCACTTTAAAAACTACAATCGTTAGTATTTCTGTACAATGGCCCTGAACAAACCAAAAGGATGTAGCATTGAAATCGATACGAAAAATATTGGTCAGTAATACCCAGTTAATTGAGGCGGAGTTTGTGTAATTGCAAGAAACAAGGCAATTTTCTGTAAGTGGAACACAGCAAATTGTCACAACTGTACCTGTACCTTGTGGAGGGTTTCAAGTTTGGAAGATAAGACTTTAGCTAGTGATCAAAGCTAAAGCTTAATAAAAAAAATAAAACATTGATTTGGCAATTTTTTTTAAATGACAGTAAAAGGTTTTTTTACATTGCATATAAATTAGGACTTAGGCACAATATTATTGTTAAATTTGAAAATGTTCCTAAACTGAACTTACATGTATTTTCAATATCTTGTATCAGAGCTTTTAGAACTATATCAGATTTGGATGCTAAGTTGAGCAAATATGGTATGACCTCACGCTTCTTGTCTGGTTGACCATCTTCTTTGATTGCTTCCTGTAATTAATTTACCTATGATAACTTCTGCTGTTTCTAAATCACTTTAAACAATATTAAACATAGCCGTAAAATTTAGTATTTCATTGGTTTTAGAATTGTGTGGGAAGTTTAAGACCAAAATACAAAGGTCGACATTTTATTATAAAGTTACTCACTTGAAAAAGCTCAACAATAGCTGCTCTGACATGGAATAAAGCTGGGGGATGGTTGCCCAAGTGAGCTAGTACTGCCCTAGCAGCATCAGCACCCAGTGCTAATGCCCTGGGGGCTACTAGTGCTGGTTCTGCACGGCCCACCCATCCAACTGCCCATGAACAAGCTCGGCAACCTACAACATTAAACATTTGTTAGTCTAATTGACTTTTCTTTAATTTAGCTGGTATTTTGAAAAAAAAACTTTAAAGTGAAAAGCAAATTACCTAACATCATGTCAATGCATTTGGCTCTTTCCTCAGAATTCAACATAGTTAAGTTTTGTGTTGTTATATCTAGTAAAACTCTTACAGGTTCAGTTGCTTGTAAAGTTGCATCTGAAAAAAAAAAACAGTATTTTACCGGAGGAATATATTTACCAAATTCTTAAATTGAAGTACTGGTAATATATTTACTTGGTAGATTAGCTTTGTCAGTGGCAATATCCATTATCAAATTGATACACCATGGTGCAATGAATGGTGCCCAGGTATCCCCGAGGCTGCATAATTCTGGTCCAATCATAGTCACACTCTCTAAGGCTCCGTTCGCACTGGCATCCAGCTGTAACATGTTTTAGTATATTCCAAGATAAAATATATGTTAGTTGATACTTCATTTTAAGTTTAAATCATGTTTTCATGATTTAACGAAAGTGTAACTTGCCTCATAATCTCCTTGATTTATTGATACGTTTACTGCTTCATGAAATACCATAGCAAAATATTCTAAAACAGCATCTCTAGCGGCAGGAAAGCTTTTAAGAAGCAAGATGCCTATTTTGGTTAGTTCCGGTGCATTTTGAAAATTCCTTCGGGATACTCCATATATGAAGCTGTTAAGATCGGCTGAAAGAGCCGCTGACTTAGTTTGGGAATTCATTACGTCGTATTATGTTATGAAATTCTCAAAACATTTCACTTATTAAGGTATCTTTTTCATCACAAAATGTTAAAATCCCATTACAATTTACAATCAATCCTCCACAATCACAAATTAAATGACAGTTTAGTGACACTGGCACTTGACACCTGACACATTAGCAAACAAACGTCAAGAAATAACAAATGAAGAGCAAAAAGCTCAAGACTTCACTTATCGTTTTTATTACTACTCGATTCTTCTGTATAATTTTATAAGAGTTATTTATCATTACAGTAGAAGAAAATGCAAAACTCAAGAAGTTTAACAAACAACATGACTATGAGTAATTGAGATGAAAATCACAATTGACGTTGGTTTATAACACTGCCATCTTTTTAAAACATAGAAATTAAAGAAGAAACATGTTGGTATTTCGTAATAATTGATACATGTGACCATAAAAGTATAAACTCCTCTCGGAAAGAATCGAACATGTAAAAATAAATGAAAATCATGAAATACTTTGCACGCAATAATATATCCTCGACAATAAAAGTGATGCAGATTTATCTATTTATTACTAACGTTTGAATGTTGTTTTCTGTCATTAAAATAATTAACGAAATTATTTTAAAAAAAATATGAACATAAAAACAAATGGATAATCGCACCGAGAGAGCAATAATGAATTTGACGGACTTATGGCCCCGACCCTTCTAATACATGCACGTGTGTTTCTTTGTCTACTAATAAATGTAAGACAAAAAAGATCGAATAAATGTTTAGAAAAATAGCATTATGAGAAATATATATGTTTCTGTACAGAGTAAAATGCTCTATTGGCCAAACGTTAGGGCAGCAAATCGCATGATAGTAGCTGACACACTCGCATGCACTGCCATGTGCCTAGAACTGTCTTGTTTCTACTCTAATTCACTGGCATAGGTATTCTGGCCTTTAGACTAGTCGACAGTGTAGAAAAGAATCACTTAAATTAAAGGAGCTTGTTTGGTTTTGTATACTTATCTTTGTCAGCTCAAATACTGTATATATTTTAAAATATTAACTTTTACCTAGCATTAATAGATCTCTCTCAACATTTCAACGATATACTAAGTTAAGTTTTGATTAACGGCGCTCATCTTTGTAAACGACAGTATTATTAGATAGTAAACTCTACATTAAGACCGATTAAGTTTTTTTCTTTTTCGCAATATACAGATAGACGTGGCTCATTTAGGTAGTTCCTGCTTCGATATTCAAATACGCGACAAACTTCAGAGTCTGTATTTAAAATTGGGTAGCAATATAATAAAGAGCGTCGGTGGCTCAGTGGTTTAAGCACTTGACTTGTAATCTTGGGTTTGGATCCTGTCATGTCCCAATGCGATTTTCGAATTTCATATGTACATAATTTACCCAACGTTCTTTCGATGAAAGAAAGCATCGTGATGCAACCCGCAAATATTGGAAAAGAAATTCAAAGATATGCATGAAATCAACCAACCCGCACTGGGACAGCGTGGTTGACTATGGCCTAGTCAGCCTAACCTAGGGTAGGCTCCGAGCCCCTCAGTGGGGACATATCGTATAATGAGCTGATTGTGACGATCATGAATACTTCTACCTCACCCAATTCTAACCATTTGATACAAATGCATATAAATAAATTGTCTGCCATTTAATCTAACTTAATTAATGACTTAAAGGATAAAGTGATATGCTTGCTGAATTGTAGATACAGTACAATTGGAAAAAAAAACTTAAAAAGTAATGTTCAGTGTAGACAAAATATTAGTGTCGAAAATACCATAAATCAACAACGCCTAGGTAACTGGAATAGTAGTTATAGGTATTGTTATAGAGTGAAGGGGGATGAAATGCGTCGGCTTTGGGGTCGGCGGTGGGGTCGCGTTGAGAAAATCAATAATGTCTGCGCACGCGATTGGCGCAAGTAGACCGCTCCACGCAGGCTTGGCTTTGCGACGCTTACATTTCTATGCGCTATACTATATATATAAAACTAGGTTAGCTATAAACTGTAATACAACGTCAATTATAAGCTATTAAAACTAGAAGTAATTTTCTAAATCTATTTACTCCATAACCCAACATTATCATCGAATCATTATAAAACTTCGAATGAGATTACAGTTACACTCTTTTTACATAAAGCATTATTTGTAGACTTTTTGTTAACTACTATAAGCTGATTTAAAAAGGAAGGAACGAATGAAATATCTATTTGGAGAATAGTAATGTGCACTGTGACCGCCTATTGTTAACGTTCCCTGAAAAACAAAGGCAATTTAAATAAAAGTTCAGTAAGTGCAACTCACAGTAAGAAATACTGGTAACTATAGGACATATCTGCGTAATTATTTCCATTTGGTACGTCAATGGTATACATTTTCGCACATAGTGAAAATCTGTGACTTTTATAGCTTGCGCACACGAGAAACTAAACTTTCGCACACTATTTAGTCTCGCTTTGATTCCTATGAGCTTATATTGAGGTGCGCACACTACTTGATTTTTAGTTATGCAACTAGACAGTTTGCGATAGTTTGATCAATGGTGTGACCCCGGTCTTACTTGTTCGTTTGTGTACAACAACTTGAAGTTGCAGTGTTGAAAGTTTAAATACATAAAAACGGTACAGTTTTATTTTTTTATTGATAAATCAATAATTTATCTCCGGAGGCCTTCTAAAAAAAGGCCACAATACATGGTATTTTGATGTTAACAAAAAATGCAGTCCGTCGCTATCAAAATCATTCTTGGGAGTGACTAGGAGGAAACAATGAATGTGTTTATTTATAAGGTTATACCTCATAAATACATTTTAAGAAGAGTTACTTGCACAGGGGCAATACAGTGTTGTAGCGAGCTTATCTCGTGCCCTGGGACAATACCTTTTGAGCGTTTCCCCTTCCTTTCGAAAGCTAGTTTCATAAAAATATTCAGCATTTTTTTGTTTTGCGGACCATTTGACGCCCCATTGCGAGCTGCTCCCGGGCATGATGCCCCCCTTTGACCCCGCTCGCTACTCGCTACACCACTGAGGCAATACACACGCACCATATATCTATAGCAAGTCGTAATGGTGTACAACTTATGCCTCAAATCATTTTTTAATTGAAAAAAAAAGTCAGTAATCGAGTACATGACGAGATTAATTTTGACTAAGTTTCTTCGTCTTATAAGCATTGGAACATATTATGTAACAACATAAAGTATATATTATTGTGTATGTTCGTATGTGAATACTTGACGTCAAGATAATTGCTATGATAGTATAATTATTTATGTACTACATACTGAACTAAAATCAAAATTCGTATAGGTAGTGGGAGTTCATGGAAAGCAGCAATTTGCGCGTGAACAGGGTGGCGTTGCGGCACGCTCATCGGCAGGGCGGGCGCCGGCTACGCGCGGTTCCGGGCCCCAAGCGCATGGCGCAAGCGCGCCCCGCTCCTGTCGACGCTCGTCCGCCTCGATCGATGAGATAAACGCGCAACCCCGCTTTTCGAGTTAAATCAATACAAAGTCTATCGATTTTTGCAGCCGCAGCCGCCGCACACCGGACTCGAGAGTCGCACGCGGTGGTTGCGCGTATTTCATACACAGTTCATATTTTTCCTAGTTCCCAAATTAAAAAAATGCAAGTCGTCAATAATCACACTGACTATTAGTGAATCAAGGGATAATAAAGGTATTTTTTGTTTTAAATTTGTAAACAGTCATAAAACTATCATTATAAATTATAGATAGTTCATTTTATTTTTTATTTCAACGACTCATTAATAAATAATTTGTGTTTTAAACTATTGGTTCGGTTTAAACTGTTATGTCCAAAATTACTAGGTCGGTGGGCGAAATTGGCACTAAAGTCCTCTGTCTTATCTTGTGTTTTTTGAATTTCCCTGCCTATGAATAAAGCACGTTTTCTGACAGAACTAAGCGCGACAACAGCGCCACTTAAAACGCGCGAAATTATATTCGTTTTGTTAATGTTTGAAAGTTGAAATTTCGTATTTTTACATCGTTAAATATTGATTATATGATTATATCATTTGTTTTCATATTATTAGTCCTAATTTATTATTTCAGTGTTATTGTGAAATGGGTAATTTGTTTCTTTGTTATATACAACCAGTGAATTTAGGCTGTTTAGGATAATTTTAAAACTTTGATTATATTTTTAATAGATCGTGTGATGGGAATAAAATGACTTCGACGGACACTTACCAGTTAAAATGGCACTCACACAGTTCGCATTTAAATGGTTCGGTGGCGTCTTTGCTCCGATCGGAGCGGTTTACGGACGTGGTGCTCTGCACGATGGATGGATCGCAGATACCAGCGCACAAGTTCATCCTGGGATCATGCAGTGTTTACTTGAGCTCTCTTTTGGAGAGCCAACGTGCTGTCAATCGAATGGGCGGAATGCTGTACGTTGTACTTCCATCAGAAATATCGACGAAAGCCTTGAAAATCCTTGTCGAATATATGTATAAAGGTTGGTGTTTTAGATTTTTTTTCTAGTTGCAAACTATACTGTAACAGTGTAAAGAATAAGTTTAATTCTTGTATTTAACATTGACATTATTCTAAATAGTTTAATAATCTAATTTCAGGAGAAACAACGGTATCAAATGAAGTCTTAGACACAGTTTTAAAGGCAGGTGAGGTGCTGAAGATCCGAGGACTTTGGAGGCAGGCTGATGAAGAAACTGCTGTTTCAGAGAAAACAACTGCAATAGCGTCGCAAACAATTGTCAACAAACAAATGGTGATTGCTAAGAAACCTGAGGAAATACAACCAAAAGTAGCGTCTAAGAAAGATGATAAACTAGTGAAAGGTTTTAGTCCACAACAACAGGGTGTGACAAGGTACAGTATTTTAATTTTGTATTTTTCAGCCAATATGTTACTATTTTATTCAAAAAAATCCTCATTTTCAGTCCTTTAAGATTAACAACATAACACAAATTATTAATATTAAATTTATTTGATACATTGCCATTTTTTTATGCCTGCCTTTGTTAAATCAAGAGACTTTTATTTCCTACCTTAAGGTACAGTCTTCAGATATCTTGGCAGCTTGGTACATTGTATAAGGTGTTACACAAAAAAACACAATTTTAAATGTTGGAAGGCATAAAGACATATGAGAGCACTGCACACACATGACCTAGCTTTAAGATTAAAAAAAGACTTATACTATGTATTAAAACATAATTTAGCTTTAATAAAAAAATAATTTTAGGCCAATGTTTATCGGACCACCAAAGCTGGTGTTCATAAAGACAAGTGAAGGTGGGACTACTGCATTACGACCTGGCGCTCCTAAAGGTCAAACTATACTGGTGGCTCAAGCCCCACAGCCGGAGATCATGACCTCCTCAGTCACCACAATCCCTACACCAAGTATTGCTGTTGGATCTGCCACGACTATATCTGATGATTCTCCAGATGAAGCTCCCCCGACCAGGGTACTGAGAAGGCATGCTGCGGAAAAGAAATATGGAAAGAGACAGAAGACTGAAGTAAAGGAGAGTGAGGAGGCAAAAGATAGTGAAGATAATCAGGACAATGTATCGGAGACTTCAAGTATGTATTTTCAAATAAAAAAATAACTTTTTCTTATATTTGCTGCATCAACAAACTTAACTACCCTAGGTCTTTTGAATACATCAAATCAATTTAAGTTTCTTTACATCAATAAACACTGAATATTACCAGTTGCTATATAGTTCTAGTAATAGTAATTTACTAAGAAAAATGTATCAACAACAAATTTTTGTTGATACAGACAAGTGTATTTTAGGTCCTAAATTACTGTGCACTCAATTAAATTTTAACTTGGAAACAAGGCATATTTTTTTGTAATCCATACTAATACATAGAGAAAAGCTATGTATTTTTGTACACATTGAAATAACTCAAAAACTACTGGGCAGATTTATAAAATTCTTACACCATTAAAAAGCTGTTATCGGTGAATAACATAGGCTATATTTTTTAATTACAAACGGACGAAGTCACGAGCAACAGCTATTTTTTCTATAATATTTGTGTTTTATACAGAGAAATCATCACACAGCACCTCTGTGCCCACCGAGGTGCAGGTGAAGGAGGAGCCGGAGTGGGATGCGAGCAGCATAGAGGAGGAGGAGACCTCAATCGCGGAGATGTTCCACGCTGAGATGACAGTCAAGTCTGAACCCATCGAGGAGATGGATATTGAAGAGGAAGGACTGGTAAAGAAATTAAATTTCACTAAACATATTTATGAGTATTATAAGCTTGTAAGAACTGGAAGTTTTAATCTTTTTGGCAGTTTATATATGCAATATCCTCCCCTCTCCCGTTTGGCAGGATCTCTTACACTTGCATGCCTATTAATGTTAAGAAGAACTGTTTTTTATGAAATTAGACTGTTATTACATGTTTTTTTGGTATAGTAGTGGTCAAAGAGCCAAAGAGGAACATTACAACAATTGAATAAAAATCTGCTTGTTTATAACACTAAATTAGTAGTATTTAATACTAGCTTTCGCCCGCGACACCGTCCGCGTGGAATTAAAAAAAAAAAATGAGTAAAGAGTTTTTCCACATTATAATCTACATCTATACAAAATTTCATCGAACTCCGTTCAGCCGTTTAGACTACAAACTCTAACAAACATCCATCCATCCATCCATCTAAACTTTCGCATTTATAATGTTAGTAAGTATAAGTATGATTATTATGATTATTGCGAACAATATGCTTGCATTTCCTTGGAGAGTTTCAATGAGAGCAGTGTTTATTGAGCCAGTGTTTGAAGCCGAGCTCTGCGGAGTGCTGGTGTATTGTGCGCATTCGTCGAGCGCGTGAAGCCAGTGCTGTAAGCCAGTCGTGTGCAGATGTACAGTCCGCTGGCGTGCGAGCTGTGCGCGGAGGTGTTCACGGTGCCGGGCGCGTGGGTGCGCCACGTGCAGGGCCACGCGCACGCCGACCACACGCACGCGCGCCACCGCAAGACCAGATCCGCGGTCAGTACACTGACAATAATATCTAAAACCGTTTTTTTTAAATTAAAAACGTCTGATTAAATATCATATGGATATCGGACCATCGAAAAAATGTTTAGAAAAATCGACGCTGAATGAGAGTTAACATACCTACAAATCCATATATGTAAAAAAACTTATATTCATGCGGAGATATTAACCCCTTTGTTAGCCGGGTAAATGTTTATTTAACTTATTCCACGATGTTACAATTTTAATACTAAAATATCTTAAAGTTCCAAAGCCTACAATATTTTCAACACTTTCAATGCCATCAAAATCATAGATTTTCACGTTTCAAAATAAACTTTAAAAAAATCCAATGCAACGGGTTTGAATTAAAGCAACAATAGCTTAATAGTTAGAGGTACGGATATTCGATCACGTGGTCGAGAGTTCGAATCCCGTTATTCGACTATTGTAAAGCATATCCTAACACAAGTCTAGAACTTAGTTGGATTGTAAAATAAATAGTATCATATTACCAAAAAACTATTATTATTTTAAAAAAATAGTAAAAACGTGTTTAAAATATCTGTTAAATATGTTTTGAAAGTGTAAATATTTGCAGAGCGACGACACGGAGGAGACGATGGCGCTGCTGCGCTGCGACCTGTGCCAGAAGCACTTCCCCAACCCCGCGCAGTGGGTGCGCCACATACAGAGCACGCACACCGAGACAGGTCGGTACTCTCCGGCACGCTCCTCTGCACTCCTCTACACTCCTCTGCACTCCTCTACACTCCTCCGCACTCCCCTACACTAATCTGCACTCCTCTACATCCCTCCGCACTCCTCTACACACTTCTACACTCCTCAACACTCCTCTGTTCTCCTCAACACTTCTCACTATACTACCCAACTTTGTCTAAATAAGGATGCTCAGGGCCTGTTCCACCACTGGCGGATAGGCTCAGCTAGCTTAAAAATGACGTCACTCTCAGATAAGGGAACAAAATCCGATATCTCCATAACATATTTTACACTTTGGATTGTTATCACACAATTTACAATTTGGTGGAACAGTTCCTTAGTTTGACAATTAAGTAAGATGTAAAAACGGGTATTCATCTTTTCGACTTTTTCTTTTATAAAAGTTGAAATCGATAGATTCATAGTTTTACTTTATAGATTCAAAATAAAACTGTGATTTATCAATTTAAGCAACCTTATTTAGACAAACAATAATTTTAAATTCACGCGGAATCAAAAACTTTGTACTCAATGTGTTCTTCCAGATTGTTCTACATTTATGACCAATTTCATCAAGATACTTTTAAACGTTTAGCTGTCAAACTCTAACTATAAAACTGTCGTATTTATATTCTTAGTAAGAAGATTGTGTTCATTTACAGGAAGTTAGAAACAAGGTGGAAATTGTATAGTTTTCATAAGATTTTTTAATAAAACAGTTTTAAATGCAATCTATTTTACAGCTTAAGTAATAGGAATAAGACTGACTATTGAATAATGTTAACTATTTTGTAATCAACACTTTAATCCAGAAACCTAATAATAATGTACCAATTAAGTGATTCAAGTTCGCAGTTACTGTCTTACAAAATATACATAAGTAAACCTTTAAACACGTTTTTATCTGGTTAGAACCATAAAACGCGTTATAAAGGGTTTCCTTTGAAATGTTCGCGTTATAGGGGAAAATTTCCGCGTTATAGGGAGACTTCGCGTTGTAGAGAGGTTTACTGTGTTATGTTTAATATTTAAAATTGTTAACAGGTGATACAAAGTTAGCTAACATAGCTGAAAACTGATTGTTGTGCATGTGGCTGATTCTCGACAAACGCTAAACTTCTAACAAACGATATCCGCGCTTTAACGCGACCTTAACGCCCTCTGTTTATTTTTATTTTTTTCCCTACAACTTGTCTCGCTACACTCATAATGATCATTTCAGTTATGTATATTGTATAATATTTAAAAGGCTTTGTATTTTTTTTTGTTTTTCCAAATAATACCCCGTATTTATAATGTTGCAAACGCTATATGAGAATATATCGTTTGTAATGCGAATGTTAATGATGAATGTCGGTTGTCTAGAATTGGCCATATCAAACAACAGTGCCCCACCAAAACGTCACAATCGTTTCACAGAGGGCGCGCAAAACAAGATTTGCTCGCACTGCAAGAAGATATTCCCCTCGCACGCCTCCATGCTCATACACATGCGTACTCACACCGGTTGGTATCTTATACTTTACTTTTATACTTATTATTGATAGATTCGTCCCCGTGAAAGAAAATAATAATAAAAAAACAGCCTAAGTTACTCTCCGATAACGAAACTTTTTAATGGTAAAAGAATTTTTAAAATCGGTCCAGAAGTTTTTGAGTTATTTCAATACAAAAATACTGATCTTTCCTCTTTACATTATTAGTATAAATAAACCTCATTGGAAGCCGCCAATAGCCGAATATCTTTAAAATATGTCATTAATTTATAAAATATAGACCCTTGTTTACTGTAAATGCGCGTAGCTTTCCACGAGGCGTGCTTCTACAGCCGTCTCATTCTCGCCCACGCTCGTACACATCTGTCTCGCTCACTCGGTAGATCGTGGAAGAGAGAATAACCGAGGAGCACGTAAATTTTATATTTTTGAATTTTTATATGGAACTCAAAAACTATTGGGCCGATTTCAAATATTTTTTCAGCATTAAAAAGCTACGTTATCATTGTGTAACATGGGCTATATCTATTTTCACGCTGACGAAGTCGCGAACAACGGCTAAATTAAAAATGTACACACGACCTTGTTTAAAATCTTAGTAGTGGGTGAGAGATTAATGTATAGTTGTTCTTTTCTTTTTTAATATAGTTTTTTATTTGTTTTGATGTGTCAGGTGAGCGTCCGTTTGTATGCGGCCTGTGCAACAAAGGTTTCAACGTGAAGTCCAACCTGCTGCGGCACCTGCGCACGCTGCACGACCAGCTGGCGGGCGAGGAGGGCGCCGCGGGGGAGGAGGGGGAGGGCGCGGAGGCGGGGCCCTCCGAGGTGAAGCAGGAGCCATGAGGACGCGGAGGGGGGGCAGGTACCTCACACAACGCTTATATTAATTAGCATTCAGACTCGATATTGCTCACTTTTAATAGCATGAGTAAATTGCGCGTTGATTAAACTTCACTTATTATAACATAACCAGAAAAAAAATTGACACGTAAAAATTAGCCATTGAGTTAAAAAAAAAAGTAATATCACATTCGTGCGACTAAAACGCGGTCGGAGTGTTGTGACGTCGTCAAACAACAATGAGATATTTGACTGGTTCTCAGAGTTGTCAAAAGTTAAAAATAACTATAATATGCTACTACTACTAGAGGTGCGAACTTGGCGAGGGAACTTTAAAAATACACTTTTTAATTATTAAATTTTATAGAAAAAATATCGTCCTATTTGACGTCATGTGCAAATCTGTTATAGTTTAATCTTGGATCATTTAATGTCACATAAAAATTATTTTAGTAAAGTTATATTTTTTGATAAGAAATAGTCTATTGGGTAAGGAAGAAAAGACTGATGTATTAAGGGTTGAGGGTGATGTGTTATGCAGGTAGAGGGCGCGGGCGGCGCGGCGCGGGCGAGCGCGGGGCGCGCGGGGCGGCGGCGCTGCGCAAGCAGAGCTACTCCCTCTTCCTGAAGCAGCGCGCGGTGCTCTTCTCCGCCAAGAAGTGGAAGTGACACCGCACCACGCTACTGATCTCTGGTTGCACATTCAGCTTACATCTACCCACACTTTATACTCGAATTCAATGAAAACACTACACACAATACACTAGCTTGGTTTGTATCGGGGGGAAATATTAAAAAAAGATGCCCTTTCTGAAGGGCAAGACAGGATTATGTGGATTATTCCCAACCGTCACCTGTTCTGCCCCCATGTGAGAATAAAAAGTTTCATTCGTCCCACTATCATCATTAAGGTGACAGATGGAACCGTTATGAAATAAAATAAGTGCCAACCGTCCCCTCGCCGCAAAAGGTGAGACGGATGAAACTTTTATTCCATCTGTCCCCATATAGGGACAGAGCGTGGTGACAGTTGGGGATAGTCCGATTATGTGAGATTAGCCACTAAAATCTCCTCGGTAACCAGTCTCTTGTGCTATAGAAGAGGGTTCCGGCTCTCTCTCTCTCTTTCTCTCTCTATCTGCATAGAACTTACTGGAACCATACTTAACACTAGTTTTAAACCAGTCTTGAAATATTCAATGCACGGTAAACTAGGCCAGTACACTAACAGTTGCAATAACCAGACATAAATTATATGTCTCACTAACGCCAGTTACAATTCACACTATGCCAGTCCAGTTACTGCGCATTAACTGTACTGGCCTAGTGTAAACCGCGTATAAGTGTTTAAATTGATGATACAAACTTGTCTATGATTACAGACTTATAAAGGAAACATAGTATAGAGGTTACATTTTATCATTTTTATTGAATTCGATTATAAATAAAGTTACATATGCCTCTACTTTTACATACTCATTTTAAACTACACTTTTTTACTTCATTACTTATTTCTCTATTCACGGTTTTTTGTGTCTGAAGTTTGTGACAAGTTTTTTCCTTTCATACCTATTACGTTTGTGAATCTTTCACTCTGCGATTTTGTGACAGACTTCAGACATATTTGTAATAGTTAATAGATGTATTAAATGCAATTTTGATAGAAATAGAATATATTCAGATATCAGTAAATGTTAAATGTTTAATATTAGCTGTACACAAGCTTTTGAATGTCCGGAAATATTTCAACCTGAGATCTTAGTTCGTACGTGGCGGTGTTCGCGCAATTTTCACTTCATTAACCTGCCCACCCTCCTATGTTGTAATCTTTAAGGTATCTCGATATGAAAATTATTTTTGTATAAGATCTCATAATTTATGTATTTTTAAGAAATTTAGAAAATAAGTTAATTTTCAATTTTAAGATGATTTTAACATATTTAAGAGTGCTTTTGTCGTTGATTTTAAGTAAATCCCATTTTAATGATAACTTATAATATAATAATAATAACTGCGTGATTTAGTAGAATTATTAATAATAATAAGTGTGTAGATTTCATTTTTAGTAATTTATTTTAAAGATAAGGGAATATTTGATTTCGAAGTAGTGTGAACAATGCATTCCTGATTGTGTTCTTTATTTATTTAGATGTAATTTGACATTTACTTTAGAGCTATAAGTTCGCCATTTAGCATTTTAAGTTTTAAAAGATGTGTTTTAAAATTTTTACAATACTCATGTTAAACATGGAACATGAATTTTCTTTAATGGTTTGTACTATTTGATATAGTATGGAAATAAATTTCAATAAGTCTATCATATTTGTTTTATTTTACGAGCTATCGCCAACTTCTTTATCGCGGTTTTTTTAAGTTATCTATCACATTCCCGCGTACATCTACCTTCTACCAACTATCTTTCCGTTACGCCATTTTGACAACGCGGAATTTAATATGCCAAAAGTATAACATGCCTATCCATGTTAGCTACCTTCCAGTGAAAGTCCCGACGAAATCGTCCCACCCGTTTCGGAGATTACCCGGAGCAAACGCGGCTTGCGGACACACATAAAATTTTATTTACATGCGATTTTTGTTATCAGCAACGCAAATACCTCATCATCCTGAAATCTGGAATTTTTCTTTTGATATTACAGACGCTCCAATTTTATTATATGTATAGATTTTACAATTTTTGTATCTAACGCTCGACTTTGAGACAACTGAATCACAAGAAAAATACAAAAAAAACCGACAAGTCTCACTTTCTTTTAATTTAGTGGCACTGCTAGCATTAACTTAGTTATGTTTATTACGTGTGTTTCCGTAAAATGTAAAATTATAAACTTGTGTTTTTTTAGATTTATAACAAGGTATACGATATCTGTTTAGGTTAAAAATTTTCAACCTCTAGCTTCGTCTATAACGAAGTTACACGGGTTTTGATATATTTTCTATGAAAACGTCGAATTTTTAAGATTTACAAGTTTTTCCAACATCTATAGATAGAATCGTAATTGATTCATTAAAAAATAATTTTCTATGACCAAAACTTTTATTATAAAAATCACATTATTTTGTATCATTACACATTATTACAAGAATAAGGCACTAAATTTAACATAATTTTATCAGTAGAGTGCAGTTACAAGTATAAATCACTTCGAATATCTTTGCGGCTCGATGTCACCTGCTCCAAGTACTGTACTGCGCAACTTATGTTCCCGAGCCGTTAAGATATTTGAATAGTGGTATGGCTGTTAGTTGTCGTCGTCGTCTATCTTGGGCGCGAGGTAGTAGCGGATGTGTCCGATGTCGGGGATGCGGTACTCCACCACCAGCGGCACGTCCGCTGACATCGACAGCTGGACCTGGAATATATGCGAAAACATTCATATTGTGCTTTTTAATTTAATTTTCACTGCCTAAAACAACCTGGCGAACGCTGGAGGCATAAAGGGAGTAAAAGGTCCAGATAGAATTTGGGTGGGCTATTGATTAATAAATTTTTAATAGAAACTGTTCACACTGGTTTCCTGGTGCACATTTGACCAGAACAGTCAGACAGTAGGGCTCAAAAATTGGAATGACGTAGTGTGAACACTGAGGCCAGTGAGACCATACAATTTATGATTAGCCTGAGCAACTCTCCAACTATACTAGCAAAATGTGAACGGCGCATAATATTGTAAAGTTACATAATTTTTCACTGGCTAGTTTTTTTACAATACAACATCAATCAGACTCCACGCCAGAATATGTTATTGGGGTTTTTAAATTGGAAAAATAAATTTGTTGGTGTTACAAAATAACTAAAGGGCAGAATACTGACACATAATTTAATTATGTAACAGCCCCTTAAATAAGGCCACACTTAAACTACAAAATCCTTTGAAATTTGTCAGATTGTAAGCAGCTTACAAACCGAAGTATGTCGTTTCAGTATTCGACCGTGAAAATTGTTAGATGTAATAAGTTTTTTAAAACTGTAAAAGGTCATGTCACCTGCGGGCTGAGGGAGGTGGCCTTGGTGAAGTAGTTGAGGTACTGGCAGGCGAAGGTGAGGGTGACAGGCTCCTCCATCTCGATGACCACCGCCTCCTCCTCCTTGTCGACGGAGGCGGTCTGCGCCAGCGCGATATTCGCTGACCCTATGTCTCCTGACGCTGAGAATCTTACACCTGGCAAATATGACATGTAATTAACAAGTGGACCAAAATTAATAAAAGAGCACCAAAAATAATTGGCAAATAACATAAAATAAGCATGGTGTCAGCCTGAATAGGCTTAATAGAGATTTACTTTGGCTAAGCTATACTATATTACCAAAACAAGAAGTAATTATTTGACCTCTTTACCATATGTAATAAAAACCCAAATACATATTTAAAAAATAATTTCAATCCAGCACTCACTAGTATTATTGACATATATAGAAAAAGGTTACTATGAAACTTAAAACTGTAAAATATATTTATTTAATACTGATATATGTTTTATTTACCTTCTTTAGTACATGAGATGACGATAGATTCCCCGAACTGCGAGAGATCGCGACAGATTCTCGCGAACTCCGCACTCGACAGACGAATGGTGCAACTGTACTCCGTCTCTGGAATGCCTGTTGAAGAAACATTATTACTAAACTGGTTGTGTGTTTTAATAATTTAAACATAGTGAACACAACACAAAAACGTAATCAGTCTATTCTATAAGGACATTATATTCAGAGTAAGGTTAAAAATTCCATTTTATATTAATTATTAGAATACTAGCTATCACACATGACTATGTCTGTTGGGTATTATAAAAAATTATTAATAGCCGACGTCCTTTCAGTCTGTTCTACATCTGTAAAAAAAATCAGAAAGACGATTGTGTCATTCTATAGATAAATAGTAACAAACATACATCTTCAAGTTTCTTTCTAAATTTTCACAATTATAATAGGTATTAGAAGATTATAAATGGCACCAATTATCATTATAAATTTTCACAAATAATATTCAACAAATAAAAGATATCTACAATAAATAACTTATCTTACCTAAATGTTCAAGATCTAAATTCATGAGTTTCATTTCATAATCGGACACTTTCTCCTGGTTGGGGCTCTCAAACACAAAGGTGACAGTGTCGGCGTTGTCCTGCGCTTTCATTGTCACTGTATCCTTGTCACCTGCACACTTCAGGATCTTTGACATACTGAAATAACAAATTTATCTTATTATTGTGGCATTAAACTGTTAAGTGGTCACTAAGGAAGGTCCTTAGTATTAAGAAAGAGATATCTACTTTGACTGTTAAAATAAATATTAGATATCTAAGGTTACTTTTTGCTTGTCTATGAAAAATAAAGCTTTTAAAGAAGAAAATGCTTATCTTTTTTACATCAAATGAGATATAGCCTTTGGCTATTATATAATTATTATTTATTGAACATTTTGCAAAAAAATCATAAATTACATTACATATGCACAGACAAACCCTGCAAAAACCATATAATTGGTTTGTCCGTGGGTGTGGTGTTACAATATTATGTAGTTTACTAGTGTCATAGTGGATTATAGTGTAGTTGTATAACATTTTTTTTATGTTATTTGAAGATCGATATACAAAGAATAATGCACAAACCTGCTCAAATTCATACCAAGAGATATGTTTCTATCACATCTGTATTTATCAAAACCATCTGCTCGTAAAGTGAGTGATACCAGAGATACATGGGAATTGTCCATAGCCTAGAAGTGAATTGAACATTACTAAGTTTTAACATAAAATAAAGGTTGTTTTAATCATTGTATACAAATTGGTATATTATCAGAATAGTCTCATGTAATTTCTCTACCAAATCAGTTTTTTTCTTTCTTTAGTTATTAGTTGCATTTTATTAGACTTCTTCATATTTTGATTAGTATTGGGCTATTGTCATATAATTCTAATGTCAAGTTTAATGATAATTGAAAAAGAGAATAGGTTCATTGAATTTTATGAGTAAAATCAGATTTCTTGAACTTGATATACGAAATGTGGGTAAACCCAAAAAACAAACAAAACAAACATAAGTTGTCCTTTTTATTACTTACCTATCCTAACTTCTGCATAAATATGAATATAACCTGACTTTTAAAAAACAAAAGCACTAAACAACATGTTTTCAATTAGACTTCAAGTTAGAATCTAACAAGAATACCTGTAATTGTATTCCATTGTCGTCGCAATCAAACGTGGCTTGTGTTAAAAGATCCTTTATTGCCTCCAGGACCTTCTTCAAAATGGAGCTGCGAAGTAATCTTGCCTCAAACATCTTAACCTACAATTAAATTGGACAATTTATACATCGTTTCTTTATTATGGATACTTTCATTGAATAAAGAAGAAACCAATGTCTTATCGTCGAACTAGTCCAAGAAAAGAACATGTCGTTAAAACTTACTTACTTTTAGAAAATGAACTTTCAACAATTAGAAATGTATTTATTGCTGACTTTTTGTAGTGAGACTAATCACAAAAAGTTTATTCCCCTCAAGACGCCGACGTTAGCAAAATGACAATAGACCGGTTAGTGATGGGACTCGAGTTGCTTTTTACTCGAGTGACTCGAGTCATTTTTATCTTACTCGGACTCGAGTGAAATTTTTGACAACTCGAGTTGCGAGTGACTCGAGTTGACTCGAATTACGTGTGACTCGTAACCACTTTTTTGGTTTATACCAAGCGGAGTAAGAAATTCTTACAGCAATTTCAGTCAAATTTTTTACATTTTTAAAAATACATATTTCTGTTGTTTTGTTGAGTTTATTTAAGCTTCATTTAAGTTAATTTTAAAGCATGTTTGTTATCTAAATTGTGTAAGAACATAATAAAACTGTTCATATTTGGATTTCATAAAAATTACTTTTTAGAATAAATTAAAATGGATAAGAACTTATTAGTAGTACACTATAAAAATTCAACTAAGAGTTGTATAAAAAGGTTTCATGATTATATAGACAGGTTTACTTTAAAGAAAATACTATTTTTACACATTTTGTTTAGATTTTTTGAGTAAAATTCTTGATAATGTGAAAATGATTTTTTAATGTTAAATTAATATTGTTATATTGGTTTTAAAAGTTTGCTTACTCGATTTTTATATTCCGAGTGACTCGCGTCTATAAACATCACTCGAGTCTTATCTTCACTCGAGTGGCATTCGAGTGAGAAAGTTACCAGTACCGAGTAACTCGAGTGAAAAAAAATCACTCGAGTCCCATCACTAAGACCGGTAAAACGGCGCGAAACTTGCAAATGTCACAACTAAATGTCATTGTCAAGAAGAACGTTCAGAAATTAAGAATAAGTTACGTTATCTGTGGAGGTAAACAAAAATTAAAATGCGTCTTTCGCTTTTGTACTTTTACATCTCGGTATGACTAATTAAAAAATGAAACCAAGCAGAACTAGCTTTTTAGAAGGATGAGAAGGTAAAGGAATCACAATGACGCAGAATATAGCCCTAGATTATTTAATTCGTAAATAGAAAGTTAGTCTCATTAAATCTTTATTTATATAGCTATTAAGCTCATAAACAATAACTATGTACATTTGATATAAAATTAACAAATTTCCACAATTTGATCTTGGTTTGGATATTCAGGTAGTATTAAATTATATTTGGCAATAATACCTGGTGGCAGAAAACGGCCACCTAAGAAATGCTTGGCTGTGTCAATAAACTCGCGCTTAGCACATTGCTTTGGAGCTGACAATGATATCAACAAAGCAGGTTTTAAGAACTTCTCAGAAATTGGGCCCTTTTCTACATCCCAGCCACTTGGAATATCAACACTGAAAAAAAGCAATTAATAGTAACAAACCACAAGTTCTCTACTTTTTTACTTATACATATTTTATGTATTGTTTTTCACCTGCAGACTGGTAATCCCCCTTCAATTAAGGCATCCAGGGCAGGTTTCAGTTCTTCTCTAACAGGAGGCTTAAAACTGAAGCCAAAGAGAGCATCTACCACGACTTTATAATCATATTGCAATTCATTAGGCTGTGGTAACTTTTCTACTATATGGACAC